CGAACTGTGGAACATGCTTAAAATGGGATATCATTCAGCCTTGAAGTGGAAGAAACTTCTGACATAGGCTATTACATAGTTGAACCTTGAGGACGTTAGGCTAAATAAATAAGCCAGTTACAAAAGATAAATACTGCGTAATTCCACTAGATGAGGCAGTTAGAGTAGTCAACATCATAGAGACAGACAGTAGAACGGTGGTTGCCGGGAGCTGGGAGATGTTATAGTTTAATGGATATAGAGTTTCAGTTTTACAAGATGAAAAGTTATGGGGATGGGTGGTAGTGATGGTTGTATAACAATGTGAGTGTACTTGATGCCACTGAACTGTACACTTAAAATAGCTAAGATGGTAAATTTTATGTTATATGTATTTTACCAAAATAAAATTATTAAAAAAATATGTGGAAAAAATACTCACTTATCCAGGATGATTCTTTTCTAAAGGTTCCCAAATAACCCAGGGTTTACAGTAGACACTCCAGCAATAACGTAATCAAGATGAATAAGCGTCTCACTGGGGCAGTTTTAACTACACTAATCTCTTCCCTAAGCAGGTACACTTCCAGGTGGAGGAAATTCTCCTTCATGAACTCTCAGAATTAAGGAAATTCAGCGATATTTTGTGCATGAAATGAATGTGAAGTAATTTGTTGTATCTATCACTCTGTTGTTGATAGATACCCTTCATTCTCCAAAGGATTTGTTTTTGAAACTCTCTCAAGGACTTAAAACTGGAATCTACATTTAACGGAATACAAGAGAAAGCAAAAGTATTAGCACTTTTAAAAAAATTATGTCTGTGAGCAGTAAAACTAGCTACAACATCCCCAGGAGTTCAGTTTAAAATAATGTACTGTATTCAGATTGTATACAAAAACTTTTCACACTGTCTCTGAGATTCATACACCAACTAGTATGGGTGTTGGTCAAGGCAGCCAGGAGAGCACTGTTGCCTAATCAATTTAATCCTGACAACAAAAGTGTGGTTCAATTCTGTGTCTGTTTTCCAACAACCAGGGGAGAAGTGTGTGTGTGTGTATGTGTGTGTGTGTGTGTGTGTGTGTGTGTGTGTGTGTGTGTAAGAGAGAGATAGAGAGTTAGAGACAGAGATTTTTCTGAGTTCCTGAAATGGGGAAAAAAATTTTTTTAGAAAGAAATGAGATTTGGCCCTGCCTTCCATGCAAACTGAAACATTTAACCACAAAAAAAAGACCATAGATAAACAATATGTCAAATTACAAGCTTTCCCAAAATAAATAAGGCAAAATCTATAAAATGGTAGATAATATCAGAGGGAGTTGGGGAGGTGTCACTCCACATGGGTTCAAATCCCAATCCCACCAGAGTGTGACCTTGAACAAGCTATAGCAGGGGTCATCAAACTTTTTAAACAGGGGGCCAGTTCACTGTCCCTCAGACCGTTGGAGGGCCGGACTATAGTTTAAAAAAAAACTATGAACAAATTCCTATGCACACTGCACATATCTTATTTTTTTTTCACATATCTTATTTTGAAGTAAAAAAACAAAACAGGAACAAATACCATATTTGTATTTGCATGTGGCCCGCAGGCCATAGTTTGAGGACACCTGAGCTACAGTAACATCACTGAACCTCAGTTTTTAATCTATAAAATGATACTAATAATCACACCTAATTCATAAAGTTTTTGTGAAAATTAGATGAGATAATATAGGGAAATCCCAGAGTGGATAATTCTGTGTATACTCAATAATTATGGCTATTTCCATTATCTAAGGGTGATAGAACCTGGGGTGCTTTTCTGTTTCATTTTCTATGCATCATGTGACTCCCATTATCTACCACTTCTAGTCCAGATCTCTTTCTTAAGATCTAGATCAATTTTTTTTTTTTTAAAAGAAAAAGACTCTGAGACATAATGAGAATGAAGCTGCAAAGATCTGCTACAGAGTTAAGCCACTGCAGAGAAAACCGATGAAAACATCGGGGATTTATTGTGAATGTACCAAAGGGAGCAGCCCCAGGGAGCACTGTCTGACCAAGGCAGAGGGGGAGCTTACAGCATGAAGGAAGGCAACACGTGCTTAGATAGTAAATATCTTTAGAACTTCTTCCTTTTGATATTGTTTAGGAGCGAGAGCCAAATGGTGTTTTTACATTTAGTTTTATTCCAACTATTATTAAATGTTCTCCGGGCACTGGGACTACCTGGAGCATTGTAGTCCCTGTCCTCATAGGACTGAAGGGGTTTAGGAAGGGAGACAGCTATGGCAAAGCATGATCGGGTGCCGTGTGCCGGGAAAGGTGTTCTCTGAGCTGGCACGAAGGCTGGGAGGACAGAGCAGGCCTGCCTGGGGGAGGACATGAAATCTGGGAGGACGGTGCAGGCCTGCTCGTGGGAGGACATGAAATCTGGGAGGACAGAGCAGGCCTGCCCGTGGGAGGACATGAAATCTGGGAGGACGGTGCAGGCCTGCTCGTGGGAGGACATGAAATCTGGGAGGACAGAGCAGGCCTGCCCGTGGGAGGACATGAAATCTGGGAGGACGGTGCAGCGCAGAGCAGGGCAGACAATGTGAGAGGGGAAGCTGAGAAACGAGCAGAGGACCCTGCGAGCAAGCCAAATAGAGACTGGACTTTCACTGTTGGCAGTTGAGGGTTGTCAACTGGTTTCAACCAAGGGATGACATAACTGGGTTCTCTTTCTTAAAGGATTACGCTCCCTGCAGGATAGAAAAGGAAGGTGAAGTGCAAGTTTAGGGGACACTGAGATGGCTGCCCAGGGAGGACCAGCGCTTGGGTTGTAAATGGTAGAATTCTTAGATTGATCTCATGGGTGGGAGTGGGAAAGAGGGAGGAAAGGGAGCTCCTACATGTCTGCCTTGGGAGAAGGAGGTGAGATGGCCCTCACTGAGTCCGGGCACTGGACGGGGAGGAGCTGGGGAGAAGGGACGCGAGGGCCAGTAGGTCAGTTATGTCCTTTGCGCCTGAAGCACTTGCAAGAAATTCAAGTAGAAATGCTCAGAAGGCAGCCAGACATCTGGGCCTCGATGTTCGCTGAGCCTGAATGTGGACAGACGACATGTCCACTGCAGGACCTGAGCTCGGAGGGGACAGTGGGCCAGCAGGCATGGTCCCGAGGAGGGACCTGAGTGACCACGCTCAGGACACTGGTCAGGATCCTTAGGAAACCAGCCCGACAGTGAAACTGTGGCTGGACCATGGAGACTTGGCTCAGCGGTCGGCTGCATGGAGCTCTTTGCTAACAAGCCAGTACACATCCACAAGCCCGGGCCTTGCTTAAACCCACAAATGAGGCTTCCTTGAGACACCTGTGACTTTGGCTTTGGGCGCCGCACCCTTGACCGAGTGAGACAACAGTCCTCACCGGGCTGCTCTCTTGTGTGTGTTCTGAATAAGTCCCCGATGTTTTTCATCACGTTTCTCTGCAGCTTAGCTCTGCTGTGGACCTTGGCAGCTGGACTTTCGCCATGCCTCGGTCTTTTAAAAAATAAAAAGGTTTAGATCTTAAGAAAGAGGTCTGAGCTAGGAACATGGTAGTCAGGTGCAGCTGCACAGGAAATAAAGTAGGAAAATGACAGCTTGTGTCACCCTTAGAGATGAACAATGCGCCTAACCATGTGAGTGGCTCTGAGAAACCACTTGAGAAAAAACCAACCCGTTTAACTTTCTTTAACCCAGTCTGTCTAAACTATTTGACCCTGAAATGTCTTCTCCCCAAATACCTTCATTAAATCCCGTAGAGCTAGTGTTTTGTAGAAGGTTTTGATAAGTGGTAGTTTAGGCATTTTGCATGAAATTTATTGATATTCTGATGTGTATACTATAAATACTTACATTTTATCACAAAAATAATATCAACCAGGGTACATGATTTTTCTCAGTTACCTCCTTGTTGAAGCAGCCTCACTACAAAGAGCCTTGCAACCCAAGTGCTACCACGGCCCCCTCGGCAGAGGAGCTGCAGTTGTGAGAGTGTTTTCCCGGAGGAACTAGCCACCCTCTAGGGCAGTGTTTGTAAACGTGAAGGATATCGGGCGCTTTGAGAATCTGATGAAAGTTATCTACCATATCCCTAGGGGACAACTGCATATTTCATCTAACACATACAATCGAGAGATCCAGAGACTCTCAATCCCAGGTGAAGCATTCCCGCTCTACAAGACACAAGAACAATTGATGAGCCTATTTCGTCATGGCCAGCGTCACAGTGCTCTTGAAATCAAAAGTCCTCAGCACTTGGGGCACATGTGGTCACATCCTTTGGTCAGTGACTGCAGCCAGCTTCGCCGCTGCCCACTGCCTTCTAGAGTCCAGGTTTGCCTGTAACTCTGCAGCTGACAGTGGCCTCCCAACAAAATCCTATTATTTGCCACGTTGTTTAAAGCCATTGTGTAATGAATCATTATAGATTTTCTTTTTAAATTCATGCTTTCAATTATCCTATTTAAACTCCTTATCAAGGAAACTGCGTAATCGTGAAGAACTCTGAAGGGCTCAAGTGTTCGTTGATGGGAGAAAAAACACTAACCTCACAGACTGATCACAGACATTTAACTGAAGAGAACTCTAGGTGGAGAGAAGATTGACTGCAAATTGTAAAGGCATGAAGGAGCCGGGCATTCTGAGAAACTTTCCTCCTAAGACCGTGCTAGATCAGGGGTGGTCAAACAGTGACAGGCCTGTTAAATCGTTACATTTCAATCTAAATGAAAAGAGAAGCTTTTGAAGGATTTTAAGCAAATGGATCAGATGAACTATTTAAAGACAAGAGAGAAAAATAGAAAGATTAGCTGAGTGGCGGTGACTGTGGGCCAGAGGTGCTGGTTGTCTGGACCATGACGATGGCAGTGGAGGAGAGAAGGGGTGGGAAGGTCTTGGAGGTAGATGGGAAATTAGGGGTGAAGCAGTGGGAGAAATCAAGGATAAACCCTGAGTGTCTGGATAGGGAGTAACTAAGCACCAGCCCTTGTTGAAGATCAGAGATGACTCACCAGACATCCCAGCATCAGGCTCTGCCTTGGGCTGTACAAGTGGGTGTACTACTTTAATTCCACCAGGTGGTGCAAGTGATGAGTTGAGGTTAATCCTAACCATATCCCTCCCCGTGTGTTTGTTGGCTATCCAAATCGTCTTCTTTCTCCATGTTGAGTAGAAGAGACGGTCTCCAAAAACGGAGATTGCAAACAAATTGTGCCTAAAACACAACAGAAAAAACATTTGTTCTTGGTCTTATTAAAGTTTCACTTCATTTCAATTTATTGTCTGAATTTTAATCACCTACCTTTTTGATTATTATTTTTTTTTTAGATTTAGAAACAGGTGTTGAGCTTAACATTTTATATATGTAGTCATACTCTGAATTAATGGGGTATAATTTCTAGCTCCAGATTCATTGTCTCATTCTTTTTGCAAATCAGCATGGAAGCGTGATGGATAGAAAATAGGGAAGAAAATAGGAACAGGGTAGGACTGGACTTCTGGTTTTGTCCATTTCACACATGACTCATTTCTGCCTCTTTCCAAAAGCTGGGAAGTCAGTTACTGGCAAGATAACAAATCAAATGTGTATAACTTTATAACTGCATGCCATAAAAATTCCAAAAAGAATAACTGTAACCAACATGTAAAAACTTATTATGTGCCAAATATTCTGTTATTTATTTTTATTTCTTTACTTAATTTTCACAATATCCCCAAGAAATAAGTACTATTATTATCCCCATATTAAAGGAGACTGAGGGTGAGAGAAATCACATACCTGCCTAGAGTGACTTGTCTAATAAATGGTAAATCTGAAACTTGAATTCAAGACTCCAAAATCTGTGCTAACCCACCATAGTATCGGCTTAACTGGCAAAAGTAAAATTAATATCACACAAATTTCAAAGGGCAATTGTTCCATTTCACACCAGAAGCAAAACTTACCGTGCAAGATGTTTGCTGAAATGGACAGAACCTCCATCATAATCACAGGAACAAACGCGAGAATTGCTCCCTTCTCTGTTGTACTGAATCCAAAAGAGCCGTTTATCAAGCACATCCAGTGACATAGCTGTTATTTTCTCTGATGTCTCGAACAGAATCTTCACTTCCACACCTTTGAGGTCTGCTCTGTGAAGGCTGCCGGCCACCTCTGAAGACCAAAATATAAACCTGGGGGCGAACACATGAATTAGACACATAACTGAATGTAAGGTCACTTAAACCGTCAACTCTCTCAATGTGTGCACAGTCCCCAGGTGTCTGCACAGGACAAACTTGACTATTTTGAATGAAAATTAAATTCAACAGCAGTCCTTGAACTTCCCATGGGATTTTAAGCTGGAGGAGATTTATGCTTCTACGGCAGGAAGCCATGGTCGTCAGGAGTGCTGTTTGTAGAGGGAGTCGCTGTGGTTCAAATCCAGCAAGCGGCCTATTGGAAAGGGCGATTCTGTATCACAAAAGAGGGCCATGGTCTCAATGACAAGGTCCCTTTGAGTCCAAATGCTATGTAATTCTATGAATTCATGTGATTCTATGAATTTTCATCAGATTTTGAAATATATCTGTGTCTGAAAAGCAGCAGAATTTACCTTTCTACTGGATCGACGGCTACGTTTGCAGGATAGTTTAAGGTGCTTAAGAGAACACGGGGATTGTTTCCTTTCATATCTGTGACTGTAATGATTCCTTCCTGTTGATTTGACCAAATAAGTTCTTCCTTTATCCAATTTATTGCCATTCCTGAGACATTTTTCTCTATAGTGCATACTCTCTGTAAAAATCAAATTTCAAAATTGTTATGAATAATCCTCCATTCTCAACAAAGTTGTTTCTATTTTCTGTAGAAGAGCCTGTTCTTCTGAGGACTTGTCATTTGTGTGCATTCCCACATTACTTTAATGATGAAATCATCACAGCCACACTGCCGCTGTTTTGATGCAGCAGCTAACCCACCATCTGCAAGCTTCTGGGCATAGTTTCTATAACTGCAGTAACAGTGGGATTTCGATGCTACCTGAAGGACAGTTTACTCGGTTCCACTTGCTAATGGAACTTTCCAGATTCTCACTTGAATTCAAGTCCAAGCTTTACCAAACTCTGGCAGGATTCCCTTGGAATCTGTGCACAGAGCTCTAAAATAGAGGAATTTCTCATTAGGGCCCCACTTTTCATCTAGCCCCTCTCCTCCATCAGGCCCCTCCCTGTCTGCAATCCCCAGTGCCCTTGCCCTCTGACCCCATGAACTAAAGAGCAACGCTTCTCTTCTTGTCTCCTGGGCAGCGTTCTCTGCTCTGTCATTTAAAAAACAGCCCAACAAAAAACCTCTATTATCTCCTCATTCCAGCGTGCGGGGGTGAACTGGTCTTCTTGGTGGGTGGAGGGTGGGAGGTGGGAAGAAGGTTGCAGATTTCCATGGTGTAAATATTCCCACCATTGCTGATTTCCAGCTACTGACCTGACCTCACTGATCACATGTGGGCAAGGATCTAACATTCTCATGAGCCTGTCCTATTCCTATATCTCAAACAGAGTAATTTGGTCCAACCATTGAACCAATTGCTAATAGATTAATATATAGCTCATCCAGGTAAATTGTTTACATTTTACCAGATGTCCTTTATAAACAATGTTTTAACCTGAAGGAGGGAATATAATAGTGGATTTTAGGCATCAAAGCCAATTCGTTCTTAACGACTTGACAGAAATTCACAACTGTTTAACTTCTTTCCTATTCTGTGACAGGAAATTCTCCAGATTCTTAGATTTAAGATTTTGAAACAATTCTACAGATGGCTGGAGAATGAGTAGCCATCCTTGTTAAAAGTGAGATTAGCAAGTATTAAAGATGTGATAAAACAGATTAGCAACTAATTGAAGCTTTTAAGAATAATTGGAGACAGAAGGTTTGGTTTAAAAAAAAGCACACACAAAACAGTGGGCACTTTGTGCTGGGAATAAATGCTTAAGGTTTCTCTAGTCACGCGCTCTCTGTAATCTATCTCCCAGGAAGAGAGAGGACATTCCTCCTGGGACTCATGTAAGGGTTCTACCAGTTAAAAGGAAAGATTAAAGATCTTTAGTGAGTACTTGAAGCAAAATACTTTGTATCTATCTGCTTTATTTTTTTCAGCGTGCAAACACCTTGAGAATTTTAAAAAAAAAAGTTTTTCTTCCTAGATATCAGGTGCCAAAACCCTCAACAAAGATTTTAGACAATGAAACAGGGTTTCTCAACCTCAACACGATCGATGCTTGTGGCTGGATAGTTCTTGGTTGTGGGGACTGTCCTGCATGTTGTAGGATGTTTAGCAGAGTCCCTGGCCTCTGCCCACTAGATGCCAGTAGCACATCCTCCCTCCTCCCCAATCCAGTTGTGACACCAGAAATGTTTCCAGACATTGGCAAATATCCCCTGAGGGGCAAAACTGTCCCCAGTTGAGAACCATGGGAGTAAAAAATAGTTATGTAAATAATATGTTTTAACCATAAGATGGTGTTCTGACTTAATAAACTGACATATTTTCAAAATCACATTGGCATCCTTGCTTTCTACTTTGGGGAGCTTCTGAATTTCATGGGCTTGTTCAATAACATGCCACAGATGCATAGTAAATAAATACCTACAAATGTCAGGCACACATATGAACTGTAATGTGATTTTCATTATCTGTATGTTACTAATTAACTATATCATGTTTGCCAGCCTCTACAAAAGCCCCTCGGTACCTTAGGAATTGGTACTTTACCTCTTGCCTTGTCCCATTCAGAAAAACTCTTTGCAAAAGTTGTCTTTCTGGATCTAGCCAATAGATTCTTTCTTTATTGTAATGAAAGTCCATGATCACTGATACACCAGCATCTGTCACCAATTTCTCATGATTGGTTCCTTCCAGGTCAATCCTAAAGATGCTATTTCCATGAGAGAAAATTAAGAAGGGTGCAGGACCTGAGTGGGAAGAAAGAAACCAAACTGTGTATTTTCAGTAATATTTTATTGATGTAGACAAAATACTTCCCCATGAACTAACACAAGTGTTATTAATTTTTTTATTCCAGGTTCTATATTTTAAATAAGAATATATAAAGATATATATATGTATATATATATATATATATATATATTCACAATTAATTTTGCAAGTTATCTTCTCCACAAATTGATTCTAAATAATAAACATTGCCAAATTATGAAAAAATAGCTATTTGAAGAGAAAAGCACTTTCTTCTCTTATATATAAAATGACATTTTATGTTAAAAAAGAAACAACCTACTGTTTTGCCTCTGCTGAGCAAAAGGTCTATAGGAATGTAAATTTTAATTCTATAAATTGGAAATAGTATTATAGATATTATCATTTTCTAAATGCCCCCCACCCCAGCCTTACTTGTGAACAGAGCTTCCGGGTAATGACATGGAAGAAGGTGGTGAAAACTAGAGGTGTTAAGTGGAAGCAGGAAAAAACTGAAATGCTGTCCTGTGAAGCGCTGGCATATTTGTTTCTGTTGGCGTCGCCACATAAAACCCAGGATGCTCAGTTAGATTTGAATTGCATATACACTGAGTGGGACAGACACTAAATACTTATTCACTATTTACCTGGAACTCAAATTTAACTGGGTGCCCTATGTTTTTATTTGCTAAATCTGGGTGGTGCACCTCACTGGATCTCTTGGTCCCTGCAGTGCCTTGCACCTTCCCTAATCCTATACCCGGGGCCCTGTAATATTTCAGGTGATGGCCACCTGCCCACTCTGACTCCCAAGTACGCAACACCTGCTTGAGAGCCTGATACCTCTCGTTGGAAACCTCAGCCTAAATTACTGGCTGACTCCAAGGAAAGCTGCCTGTGATGGTCAAGATGCTGCCGGGGGACCATTTCCTCCCCTGCAGCCAGGTCAGTCTCCTTGGTCTCTTCATCTGAGGGTGGGGAGGCTCCTCCACTCTAGGCCTTTTGGTAACTATGCAACCATTGGATGAGTGGAGATTGGAGACGATGCTAACATATTCTTGGGTCCCTGCTGGGCTCCCTCCATTCTGTTTTCACATTAGACTGTAATACATGCACATGACACGATATATGTACTTCTTGTTCCAAAGATTAAACAAGATGATGAATTAATGACATTTTACTCAGAAAACATTAATTCTGCTTTAGAGGATATGTCAGAATAAAGACACAAAAAGAAGGAAGAAGTGTAAGATCATTAGAGTTTGAAATAGTGCCGGCAAAGTGTCTAAGAGAATTAGCTCAAATCACTTCCTGTATCTTTTCCACAACACAAGCCTCTCCACACAGATGCGTAGGAGAGCCCAGGCTTCACGGCCACTCCGGCTGCAGAATCAAAGAAATCATAGAAGAAATGCAAAGGGCATTGGATCGAGAGCCAGCAGGCCTGGTTTCCAGTCCTGGCTCCGTCAGCTTCTCTGGACATCTCACGGGACCTCACCGCCTGTATCGGAGGGTTATTGGGGAAAGAAGTAACATTATGATGTGGAAATATTTCATTAATTGTGGAGCACTACACAAGTGTGATTCATCATTGCTTATTCCCACGGTTCAGCTTTGAACCTGTGGACTAGAATGTTGGCATAGCTCATCTCTCGTATGGCAATGCGTCATGGAGAAAGGAAGACAACAGGAAAAGGCACGCTAAACCAAGAGCTCATTTGTGGGCTGCAGACTGCTGTGGAGTCCTCTCTTTGAAATGTGCATCATGTATTCTCTATAAGCTAAATAAATGTCCCCAATGTATTAATTTCCTAATACACTGTTACCTTGATGAGATCAAGAAAACATTTTATTCATTTAAAAGTATAACTAAATGGGAGACTTCCAGGTTAAAAATAAAAGAGAAAGGAAAGGTACTCTAAGCATTTTAGTAAGAACTTGGCATAATGCTTTCTTTGAACATAATAGGCACTTAGATTTTTTAATTAATTAATTAAGAAATATGTGTGTTTTATTAATTTGTCTGGGCTTTTACCACAGATACTAGCGGATCTATCAAATTCATAAAAGCACAATCTAGCCTATGGTAGTTATGTTACTAACAGCAATAATGACAATAACAATAGGCTTTCACCTCCTGATCTCATTTATCTTTAATAAAACACCATGAGCTAGACAGGCAAGATTTGACTGCCAATAATCAAAAGAGAAAAGAGAAATCTGAAGAATACTTAGATCCACAAGGCACAAACCACACCATTAACATCAGTAAGGTTTCAAAAAACAAAGAATATTTATAAAATACTAAGTATGAATTGACAAATTTTACCCTCAGATTTTTCCTATTCTCTGTGAATAGTGGCATCCAGGCTGTATCATAGTCTCTTAGAACTGGAAGATCCTAGTTATTACCTAATCTAGTGTTTCCCCAAACCGTTTCTTTAGAAGAGTCCCACAGGGTTGT